TCCTACAACCTAATTTGCCCCTGACATAATGACTTAGTGTAACAAATTTTTTATATACTTCGGTTGATTTTATATAAACCTGCATTCTTTATTTACATACTCTAAAATTATCTTGTTGTACAAATATAATTTTGGAGTAATGTACTTGAGTTTTTTATTTATGTACTTCCATCGGTTGAAAAAATAATTTAAAAAATAAAATAGAACTGAAAAATACCAACTATCTCATGATCTCAATCACTTTGTTTCTTCAAAAACCATTCCCCTTCTACTTTTAGTCAATTGTCATTGAACGTAACCTTAAATACCATCGACATCGTTGCACTAGAATTTGTTCGCATCAAAGATGAAAAGAGAAGATAAAACAAAATTACGTTGTCTGCTCGAAAATGTCGAAAATATTTCCTCTCCAAAACAGAGTTTCAAGAAGTAAGTTAAAGTTTTTTGTTTTTGCTAAAATCAATATTTCAATTTTGTATTTTTTTTCTAATTCGTGATATGCTCATATCTCTTTTTCCTGTGCCTCTGTCGGGTGATTTTTTAAGTATTAAGGTGTTGGATGATATCTCTGGCATGGTGTTGGTTATAAATGTATCTATTTTGTCGATTAGTGAAAATTTTATGTGTTCTTTATATTATTTGTGAGTGTCTCCCATTGTCTTTGGTGTGACTAGATTATTAATTTATATGCCTTAAATAAAATATTACTTACCTTTGTAGTTATGCTATAAACTTGCATTTGTGTTGGGTATACTCATGAAGACATATCTTTGTTTTGAAATAATGGCATACTAGAAAAATAATACAAATATCTTACCTCAAGATTTTTTATACATTTCTTCTATACAAAGATCGCTAAACTTAAAGTTGGGATAAACAATAAACAACTGAAAAGTATGCAACTCTCACCATTTGGGTATTTTCTAAATTATCCGGAAAAAAAAGCTACCTTGGCATCGGTTATGACTACAACCGATTTTCTAATGTGGAATGACTTTTAAAGTACTGAAGGTGTTTGTTGAAATTTCTATCATATTGTTGGTCATTCATGTATCTATTTTTTCGATTTATAAAAATTCTATTTGCTTTACTATTGTACATTAATGACTCCAAATGCTTTTACTTACAACAATTGGTATATAATGTGTGTCATAGTTTTTAATTGGCGTTCCTCTATAAAAAAGTTACATACCTATATAGTTTCTAATTAAAAATATGATGTGTGTGGTTTTCTATAAGTATGATCATTTGAATTAAAGGTAGATACACAAAGAATTAAAAAATATACTTTGGTGCGCAAAATTTCATGGTTGGGTGTAGAGAAACTCCTAAATTTGAACAACATACTCCCGATGAAAACATATGTTCTTTATTTATCTAAGTTACATACTTCTGACACAATTGTATGTACTCTTATTAAAGAATAGACTTTATAAATAACTGAAAGCACTGATGGACATGTTCAATGTACACTTCAATGACAAATACTTATAGTGTGAATAGTTCTAATATGTCTCATGTATAATATTTACTCTCCATACCTTCTAATATATTTGTTTGTTATGATATTTTTTCTAGTCTACAAAATGCTAACATGGACAAAGCCAATAAAGAGTGTGAAGACTAAAACATCATATGTTATGTCAAATCTATCGTATGTTAAATTTTCATCCACCGTTGAATACATGGACAAATTATCCTAATGATCGCTTCAGTAGTATTGGTTGATAGACACCAATATTCGATGAAATTGCAACGATATATTCAATCTATAGCCGTTTAAGCTAGCCACAATCATAGTTGGGTGTTGAGAGACCCCTAAATGGAAGCGACACACCCCCTAATTATGAGATTTGTTTCTTTATTTCACTAAGTTACATACTTCTGAATTGAATAAATATACTCGTATTGAAAGATATTCCTTATAAGTAATTTTATACATATTTGATATATTTTGAGAAGATATGTACTCACCAAATATTTTGAAAGCACTGATTGACACATTTAATGTACACATCAATGACTAAATACGTTTTTCATAGGATGAGAGGGTTCAATATGTCTCATGCGTAACACTATGGACCATGTTATACCGTAATGAGTACTTAAGGGACAAAGGACCTCAAATATTACGTAGAATTTAATAAGAAAATTCTTGTGTAATCTATTGTTGTTAAAAATTATTACTCCCAATCATTTTTTAATAATTACAATAACATGCAATTTACTTTCGTTATGAATTCATGTACTCTTATTTTATACTTTGAAAGAATTAGTTTGGACAGATGTGTACCTCGACATAATAGTTGTGTACGCCAAGTAATATATAGGAGATATAATCGAATTTACAAATCACTCAATAATGGTCTTATACATAAATTTACGTTCAATATACAATTTTCCATAAACAAAAAAAAAAAATTCCAGCCATAGGAAAAACGAAAGAAATACCTACGATAAAATATTCTTGCAATTTCTTTAGTTGTGTCTTAGACGACCACAATGATCATAATTTTTTAGTTTGTTTCACCTGTTGTGATTCAAACCGCATTCTCTTTGGCCAGCCTGGTTGGACAGATGATGTGTGAGAAATTATCTTTGTCTAGAGGTTGTTACGCGCTATATCCATATCGTGGGTCAGCGCCAAGTTAATGGATTCATCATAGACATCACATGTTGCCGGATGGAATCAAGCATCCCGATAAAAAGGTAACGACTTTGCTGAGTGCACCAAACTATTCAACGACGCAGCTATATTATTATTTATTATCCCCCAACGAGTTTCTTGGAATAGATAATTCGTCAGTCACTACCGCTGCAATTGTGCAATAAAGTTTCGGGCAAGTGACATGGCCTCCACACTATACATTATATGCCGCTCAAAATTCTTTTGTAGAAGGGCATAACTGGTTTTGTTAAAAATGGATGTCCAACATTTCTTGTTGTGCATGGATATATCCATATTACCTATATGAAATTCGATTATTCTATTGTACATATAACAATAAATGCCACATATATTTTATATATACCTAGAGTATGAAAGTTGTGCATTAGGTACCAGAGATAGTATACGTGGTGGGCTCCGGAAAATATGGCATGAATTCACTTTAGAAGTTTCGAGTGTCTATCCAAAAAAATGTATTCTTTCCACATATCGATCAGCAACGTGAAAAACATACCTTAAACTCCAGCAAAATCATTCCCATTAATTATCATTTTTGGAAAATAATGTTCCATAGCTACATGATTTTAACGTTACCTAATAAAAACACATAAAATATATACCAATGTTCATAGATGATTAATCATAGTATATACCAACAAAATCAGGGTATTTTCAAACAAATTCATCATGCGATATCAGAAACATAGGTATAAATTTAGTAAATATAAGTATACTACAATGAGAATAGGTATCCGTGAAAATGTCCACGGATACTAGCAAGAAATCGCAACAGTCCCCACAAAACTTTTTTCCTATGTATACCATCATAACAAAAGATTATAATGAAACTCAATTAGCAACTACTGCAATCATAATCTCAAAAAGACAACTATCACCGAAGCAATAGTAAAATACTTACCGAAATAAATCGCAAACACAAAATTATCGCACCAAAAGAACATCGCACGCTGAGAAATCGAACATTCGCCTTACCCATTTCTTTCTTATGCGTAATAAACCTAAAATTTGGAATTTGGATTCGATACTCATCACACAAATTCACCATCTATCACATATTCTTCCCCACAAACGAAACCGAGTGATGTAGACAATCTTTTATCTTCGCGCAAATGAAACCAGAGGACAAGATATCATTCCTTAGCGAAAAGAAAAAACTAACAAATATAGAGAAAAAATTAAAATTGATAAAATAAATTTTAGGTTAAAATAAGGACAAAATTGAAAATAAAAAAATAATGAAAAATTAATGATAATAATTTTAAGGGTAAACTGTTTTTTTAGTCCCGTAACTGACCCTTTTATCATTTTAGTCCCGTAAATGGAGCCTGTCGCAAACTAGTCCCATAAGTGAAAATTTTTCGTTGTTTTAGTCCTCCGGCGCCGGAGATGCCAGTGTGGCTCGCCGGAGGTGACGTGTCCGCCAGGTGTCGCTGACCTGGCGGGACATCCGGCGGACATGTCACCTCCGGTGAGCCACGCGGGCGTCTCCGGCGCCGAAAGACTAAAACAGCAAAAATTTTTCACTTATGGGACTAGTTTACGACCGGCTCCACTTACGGGACTAAAATGATAAAGGATCCAGTTACGAGACTAAAAAAAAAGTTTATCCAAATTTTAATAAAATGAAGTGCAGAGTTGATCAAAAACTATCTAAAAATTGAATTTAAATATATATATATATATAAATAAAAAAAAAAGGTAGGGACTGTATTCCAATCGGCTGTTTATTTTTTCTCAAAAGAGAAGTACTAATGTTTAGGTTTCAGCAGTCAAAGCAAGGCGTTCCCAAATCTCAACAATGACTCTCTATAAAAGGCAATAGTGTACGCACCTCGACACACTCCTCTATCCATTGATAATATTTTTAGATGCACAGTCATATTCATCGGACACGTCGGCGGTTTTTTTTCCCTTATTTGGTACTTCTTTCTGACTCGAATTTGTTTCTCTGTCAAAATCCCTAATCTCGATTGCCTTTGCCTGCCTTCTCTCTCACGCTCCAATCTCTCTCAATCTTTCGCTTTCATCTCTTCTATATCATCGCGTGTGTGAAACCTTTTTTTTTTTGCTGCTTTTGAACTCCTGCTCGGTTGTTCTTCTCAGTCCTGGAGCTTCGCCTTCGCAACTCATTGAGGATTTGCGTTAGCAGGTATTTTTTCTTTTTAATTATATTTGCGAGTTGTTTGTTCGTTGGCCCCGTGTCGACACTAAGTTGGAGTGATTGTCGACTGAGCGGAAAAAGATCAAGGTGAGTGGCCTCTGTTTTTCGTTTTCGTTTTTTTGTTGGGGGGTAGGGGTGTGGGGGTGGGGATTGCGTTTTTAAGTTACTACTGGTTAGTAGCTAACTTTACATTTCCAATTTTGGATGGTTTATGAATGATGTTCGTGGGTTTGACTTTGGGATGGGACATTTTAGATGATGTATTGGTTGTGGTTGATGCAATCCATTTAATTAGTTACATGTGGCCGTCAGGACGTGTGCGCCGACTCCCTGCGCTGATTGGAAGTAATCGTTAGTGGATTCTGCATGTCTTGTTAAATTTTGAACTCAGATTTTGTGAATTTTTTTAATTATATTCTAATAAAATCTGAATCCTGTGGGGATAGATAAATTTCTACAGATTTAATACAGTAGCAATATGGAGCTAAGTGAGCTGCTAATGGCAATTAATGGTCGATTCATGGTGCTGCATTAATAGTCGGATAACATGTCTAGCTTGAGTACTGGTTGGGTTGGGTTGTGATAGCCTTAGATTCTGTTATGCAGATGGCCCTTGAAATAGTGGGATCAGGTGGTGTTGTTCTGCCGAATTGAGCCTTAATTCTATCTATGTTAATTTGGCATGTTGATGCTAGTAGTTTTGATGCACGGGCTCCCGGGAATAACTAAAGTTGATATACTTTGTCGTTTGTAGATGATTAATTGACACGTGTTTGTGTTGGGAAATTCCAACTGCTTTTCTTATCTCCTTGATGTTATGTCTGGCTGTACTGTTGCTACTTGTTAATGGATTTCGGTAATTGTGTGAAGAAACTACCAGGTGTATCATATGTTTTGTGCTGCCTGATGCTGGTGGCAGCATGCGGATGATTGTTGGAAGAGATGCAAAGGTATCACACGAGCAACTGCTCTACTGCAGTCAATAGCAGTGGAATTGGTGGGATACAAGCAAGGGATACATCCCGTTCTGAGTTGCCTGTAGTTTCACCTAATTTTTCAGTGAATCCGAGGTAGTTACTGATTGTTAGGATCAGTTGTTTCCCTGTTTGGATTATGAAAATGACATGAAACATTTGCCTGGTACTGGCTAGATTTGGATTCTTAAACTAAGACATGATTTACTTTTAGTGGATATTGTACACATGAAAGTTCCTATTCAGAATTGCACATGTTAAGCTTATTGCATTTTGCGATTTGGAGTATTTTTCCTGCATTATTTCGGCACATCTGTAGGAATTAGGCAATTGGATGTAATATTAAGGTTTTGATCCTCTTTCAAAAACTTCAGAAAGGCTAGATATAACCATTTATATGCAAACATTAAGAATTGGTATATAGATACAAAGTGAAGCTTGAAAGGGAAATACTGAATAAGGTGGACCTATTTAGGAAGAGGTAAGCTGAATATATCATGGCTAGTATATCTGTTTCTTTGTAGATTTATTTATTTATGTATCCTGTAATTGGGGTAAGCTGAGTTGGTACATGTTTAAGTTGCCTTATACATTCTAAAACTTCCACGAGTCTTACACTCATATATTTTTCTATCCCCCATAAGACAGCTACTTTTATAGTTCTCATCATTGGTCTTCCCATGTACTGAGAAATCAGATTTTGTATTCAATCAGCTTATTTAATTTTCTGCTCTCAGGAGATCAGTACAAGTAACACCATACAGATTGAGGTGTGACAGGGAACCACTAAATCCCCGGTAAATTTCATAATAAGCCCTTCAGAATTTAGAATCATAATTTGGGACAATATTCCCACTTCTCTTGAGGTCACCCCTCTTTTCTCTGAGCTGTGGTACTGAATTGTTTGTCTTAATCCTTCTTCATCTTAGAATTTCACTATTCAATTTTGTTTTAAAATTTGGTAACTTAATTAATTGTTTTACTATAACAGGCTTGGACCACCGGATTTCCACCCCCAGACGTCAAATTGTCCTGAAGAGACACTTACGAAGGAGTATGTGCAAGTGGGTTATAGAGAAACTGTTGAGGGACTTGAGGTAGCATTTCCATTTCGAATTTCATATTTTTGAGTTAAGATTTCTTATATTACTTTATGACATTGTTACTTACACTGAACAGGAAGCTAGAGAACTTTTGTTCTCGCAGGTTGAGGCTTTTGCAAAGCCTGTCATTGTAAAGTGCAAAGAGGTGTGCACCCAAATAAAATTTATTAGGATATCTAGCTGTTTGTTGCTTTATCTTCCTTTTATCACATTCTTGGCTTTTGTTACTTAAATATGGTGATATTAAATGCCTAATCTATCACTTTTTTCTTTTTTCAGTCGATCAGAAAATATCATAGAGCAATAAATGAGTCTCGTGCTCAAAAAAGAAAGGTTTTAGTCTTCACTGGCTCATCCTCGAAAGGGATGAAGCATTCTATACATTTTAGTTTCCATATTAACTTTTCATTTAGAGGAAGAAAAAATATTGAATAAAATAAAATTTGTTAATTTCTAATGCATCTTTTGTATATTCATAAAACCTCACATTTTTAGGCCGGCCAAGTTTATGGGATCCCACTATTGGGTACACTTTTGACCAAGTCTGGAATATTTCCAGAGCTTAGACCATGTGGAGAAGACATCCGGAAGAAATGGATTGAGGTTTGTCTTTCTGCAGTTGTATCTTATGTTAATGTTATATGTATGCTTTTACATCAATTTTAATTTGAAGTCATCAAATATTTCCTGTTCATGTAATCTGTGTGACAGTGTGAGAAAGAACTCGATACTATTCCCAATGGTACATGAAAATAGGCTACTGAAAATTGTTGTGACATACCTTAGGGATTCTTGCAAATTGAGGTTTCCCATGGTCTAGAGACTGAATAATGGGATATATTTTGGTTTGATGATTGCACTTATTTCTTTGTCTCACTTGGGTGCTATAAATTTCTGAAGATGTCCAGAGCCCTCGTGGAAGGTAATGGAAAATGTAATGATTCTTACAATTTAAAGTAGGAATTAATTAAGCTGTTCACAAATCAATTCTCAGATCAAACAGAAATGTATAAGCAATGTGATTATCTTTAACAATGCACTGTGAAAAGAGGCCTTATTGACTATTTAAATGGTCGGGTTTATGGCTTTTGATCAACAATTTTCACATTTGTTTATCACCCTACATTTTTTTGTTTGTTTGTTTTTTTTTTTTTTTTTTTTTTGAACAAGTGGAAGAGCTTAACCATGCTGTCCAAGGGAAATGTAAATTGATGGATAGATCTGGAAGGGGGGGTTGGGTGTGGTTGACAATATTATTTTATATTAATGCTCTCAGCAAACGTCAATCAACTGATTTTGAAAATATATGCGTATTAAAATTACATCTCTATTCTAAATTAAGTTCTTAGTTAGTCAATTACAAGTAAATACAGTGAGACTCTTTCTGAATTTTTGCAGCATATTTAGCTTAATTTTGTTATATTATAGTATATATATGTATTCACTATTTCGTTTAGATGTATATTTTGGCACTAGAAAATGTTAGAAATAGTTAGAGAATTGAACATTTCATGATTTAGAATGAACAGGGTAATATCTAATTTCATAATTTGATTTGAGAGCATGCTTAGAGGCAATGTCGCTTTGAAAATAACATTTGCAATTATATATCTCTCTCAGGGCATTTGCTTTAAATATTAAAAATGTAGTTTTTTTCACTTTCTCTAAACTTGCCCAGTCCCTTGCTTGATTCTACAGATAGCAGCTTTTAGGGCTCTATTTTACTTTATAAAGAAAGAAAAACAAATCATTCCCGAGTAAAAGAGGAAGATAAAATGTTTAAAGGTGCTGGTTTATATGATGCCTTTATTTGTTTGCCTGTTTTTTTTTTCCTCTTCTAGTCATGATTGCATTATGATGGTTTACAAATAGCTACCATTATGAAGCTTTGCAGCGGCAAGGAAGTTGTAATTATAACAGACCATTTTTCCGCAAGCAAAATGGTTCCGGGTCTGGATTTTTCACGTCGTTTTAGTTGTCGTGGTCGGCATCTGTCTTTGTTGTTATTAGTTGTGCCGTTTCTGATTCAAAAATCAAGACTCAATCATAAGAATACACAGAAGGGTCCAAAATCAGCAGTCCCTGTTCTTTAGTATTCTGTTTAATTGATGCTTGTATGCTGTTGTGTGCATTCCGAAACCAGTAGTTCATGTTCTTTAGTGTTCTGTTTGGGTGATGCTTTTACAGTGTTGTGTGCATTATGACCTTGTTCTTGAAATATCATCTATTCTGGTGGTCTGATGATTAAGTTTATTAGCTTCTTGCTGTTGTCTTGATAAATGAATGATTGTGAAGCTAGTATCATTTATCTTCCCTATTGCTGCTGTCAGAGCTCAGAGTTCTTGATGTGACTCTATAATTGTTTTCACGATGATGCTTGCAATGAGATTGTTATAATGTCTGAGCTTTTTTGCAGGGTTTGTCTCAACCTCATAAACGATTGCAATCATTGGCCAATCATATTCCTCATGGCTATAGGAAGAAGTGTCTGTTTGAAGTTCTAATTAAAAATAATGTTCCATTATTGAGAGCGACATGGTATATCAAAGTAACTTATCTTAATCAGGTGCATTTTTATCAAGAGAAATTGGTATTGTAAGGAACTTATCCCTTTTGGCTTTCCACATGCCATAAGTTACTTGTATTGTCTTGCAGGTTCGACCTGTATCTTTGAATTCTTCTTCTGCTTTTCATGAAAGAAGTTATCTGTTACGGTCAGAACTGTGGACAAAGGATATTATTGAGTACTTGCAGTATCTGCTGGATGAATTTATGACAGGGAACATCTCTCGATCTACTTTGCACATTCAAGATCGGTCCTCACCGATTGTTTATGGCAGTTCTGCTCAACAAAAAGGTAATTCATTTTCAGCTGTAATGGATAGTGAGGAGCCTTCCCTTGACAAAAAATGGTGGTACATGGTGAGGATTATTCACTGGCACCATGCAGAAGGAATTCTTGTTCCTTCGTTGATTATTGATTGGGTTCTTAATCAACTCCAGGTACAGACAGCAGCCATCTTAGCTGCATATTAGAATTTCTGTGTGAATGTAGTTTGTGATGAATAGTTTTTGTATGGATCCTTACTTATGCAATTGGGTCACTTCAGGGAAAAGAAGTACTTGGCATTGTGCAGTTGCTGCTACCAGTCTTGTATGGTATTATAGAAGCAGTTGTTTTATCTCAAACCTATATGCATACTCTTGCTGGAATAGCCATTCGCTTAATTCGAGAGCCTTCTCCAGGTGGATCTGATCTTATTGATAAATCTAGACATGCATATGATTCTTCTGCTGTTGTTGAGATGCTTCGATATTTAGTACTTGCTGCACCAGATGCTTTTGTTGGTTTTGATTGTTTTCCATTGCCGAAGTATGTGGTAAGCCGTCTGGTAAATGATGGAAGCTTCATTCAGAAAATGCCTGGGGATGCTAGTATGGTGAAGGATGGTCACATCAAGTCTTCCAGCAATAAATTTCATGGGTTTCAAAAAAAGTCCTTATCCTTTACCAGTGTTGTATCATCCATTCAAAAACGAGCCGAAACTCTTTCAAGAGCAGCCAGACCTAACCATCCAAGTTATAATGTAGCTAAAGCTTTGCAGGTGTTGGACCAGTCTCTCAATGATGGAGATATTGAAGTTGCCTACAAGTTACTCTTTGAAAATCTTTGGAATGGACCAAGTGCTGAACGTTGGATTGCAGAAGTAAGCCCTTCTTTACAGATGTCACTCAAGCATATCAGCTCGGTGACATCATCATTACTTTGCTCCATCTTTTTTTTATGTGAATGGGCAACTTGTGAATATAGGAATTTCCGTAATGGACCTCCTCATGGTCTGAAGTTCACTGGTAGGAGAGATCTGTCACCGATATTCATTACACTCCGGCTTTTAAAGAAGAAGATGAGTAACATGCCAGAAATCTCAAGAAGACAAAAGAGTAAAAGTATTTCAGATATATTTGTGAGCCCTGGTCCTATGCATGATATTATTCTCTGTTGGGTTGATCAGCATGAAGTACACAATAAAGAAGGTTTCAAGCGCTTGCAGTTTCTAATTAGACAATTAATTCGGTCGGGTGTTTTTAATCCTCTGGCATATGTCAGACAGCTTATTGTAAGTGGAGACATGGGCGGGAATGGGCCTATGTTTGACCCAGAAAGGCAGAAAAGGCATCAGAAGCTCTTAAGGGAGTTGCCTGCTTCTAATATTCGTGATGCTCTGGAAGAAATCTATAGTGCTGCTGAGCCATCAGATCTTGTAGACGCAATGATTGTTTACTCAAATGAGCGGAGACTGGTACTTTATGGGATTCCAGAGAACAAAAAATCAGATCCTATTGCAGATGGTTCAACTAAGAAAAAAAAGCGTCAATCTTATAGAAGTGGAGCTGTTTGTCAATCTTCTTCACAACAGTGGCACTGTCAAGATATATGTTCAGCAACAAAAATTGAAACTGATGCAAAACTAGAGGATTTGAAGGTTTCAATTTCTGCACTATTGCAACTCCCAATTTCACTAATTAATGTTGAAATTGATGAATCACAGAGGAGCAATAGAAAGCCTGTCACATCTATTAATGGGATAGATAGTGAAGAAGTGCATGGCTGTGAAGAGTGCCGAAGGGCAAAGAAAATGAGATTGAGTGAAGAAATGGGCTCATCATTTCTCCATTCATTTCCAGAAGAGGAAGAAATCTGGTGGTTTAGAAAGGGAATGAACAATACAGAATCTTTCAAAGCTGAACCACCTTCCAAGCCTACCAAGCAGTTATCATCTAGGGGTAAGCAAAAATCCGTCCGTAAAACTCAGACTCTTGCAAAATTATCTGATGCTCGAATTGAAGGAAGTCAGGGAGCATCAGCGAGCCATGTATGTGACAATAGGATGGGATGCCCTCACCACAGGAGTAGTGTTGATGAGATCTCAAAGCATGTGGATGGGACTCGAAAATCACCATCTACAGATATTCTTTCAATTGAAGAACTTTTGAAAAAGGTGCCATCTATCAAGAAGGAAAATGTGGCCTCATGGTTGATGTCTGTTGTGAAACAGCTTATTGAAGAGGCTGAGAAGTTCACAACCAAGGCTGGGCTATATGGTCGGCCACCAATCCCTATTGATGATCAAATCTCTGTGAGATGGAGGATTAGTGACGATGAACTATCATCTATATTGTATATAATGGATCTTTGTGGTGAATTAGTTTCAGCAACAAGGTTTCTTCTTTGGCTTTTTCCCAAACTTCCAAGGCATCCTGTTTCAAGTATCCCCAGCAGGAACTCTCTGGTGTTTCCTAGGCCTGGTGAGAAGCATACCTGTGACGTAACCGAGGCCTTTCTTTTATCATGTATCCGCAGGTTTGGTCTTATTTCCATCTCTTGTTATTCTCCTAATTGCTTTCCAGATTGCCAATTTAGCAATTTACTTACTGCCTGTATTTGTTATCAATTACTCAATCACTTTATACATGTTATTAAGTCATTCACCAATTAGGATTGCCTTTGTTGTTTTGAGTAATGACAAGAATGAAGTAGCACATATATGTGTGTAAAACAACTAAAGTTTTTGCCGTTCCATGACATCTAGTTTTCATTTATTCTAGATGCTAATATAAAACAAATTTGAATTCCATGTTAGCTATTACTGTACCTAGGTTTTAGCACTTCCATGGCTTTTAGTATTTATGATTACTTGGTGTATGTGAAATTAGAATATAGACTTGAGGAAGTTCCCAAAATTTGAAATAAGTATATGGGAACATGCAGATATGGAAGATAGTTATGATAGAAATTGGTGACTACTAAGAAGAAATCTTCCTCTGATGAATAAAGAAATTCAAAACGATTAAAATAGAAACAGGTAAGTTGAAATCAGAAATTCTACTTATATTTTAACTTCCATTATTATCATCTAAGCCTTTAAGGCACTATGTGAGATCAATTGTACGATCACATTGTCATCATTTTTGTGGTGTGTGCTCTCAGATAATTATTCTGTACTATATAACTGGTAGCTTCAAAGCGCCATCCTGCAGCTATCTTTTACAAATAAATATATTTTTTGTTTCATGTTTTCTTCCTTGATCACAGCTGTATATCATCTCAAGATAGTACCATTGTTTGAACTTCTTGATGAACACCTGGCAAAAGATCATTTTTATTTTGTAATAGTAATACTTTAGTTCAATGTGTTTATATTTATTACTTTGATTCTGTTTCAGGTATGAAAATATTATTGTTGCTGCTGATCTTATTCCTGAAACCTTGACTGCCACAATGCGCCACACTGCAGCAGTCTTGGCATCTAATGGCCGGATTTCTGGGTCACCATCCTTAATTTATTCATGTTATCTCCTGAGAAAGTATGGCAGCATTGCTAGTGTTCTTGAATGGGAGAAGTCTTTTAACTCTTCGTGTGATAAGAGACTTAGTTCTGAACTTGAAGTTGGAAGATCTTTAGATGGGGGCTTTACACTTGGTGTCCCAGATGGAGAAGATCCTGATGATCATTTTCGTCGAATGGTTACTGGTTTACGAGTATCTAGAGTTGGGTCAAGCATGAAGGAAGTAGTACGGAGATGTATGGATGAAGTAGTCCAACACTTCCATAGTAAAGACCGAAAGCATTTGAGTCCTGGGACAAATAAAATTCGTAGCGTGGAGAGGTGGGATGATGGCTGTCAAACAGCTCAAAAAATAGTGATGGGATTGATGGATTGCATGAAACATACAGGCGGTGCTGCTCAGGAAGGCGATCCATCATTAGTGGCTCATGCTATAGGTGCAATTGTTAACAGTGTTGGTCAGGTTGTTGCTAGAATTCCTGATCTATCTGTCAGCACTAGCCACTCAAATGCTCCTCCATCTGGCTCATTACTTTTTGCTCGGCACATGCTACGCATTCATATCACTTGCCTATGCATACTGAAGGAAGCCCTTGGCGAACGCCATAGCCGTGTCTTTGAGATTTCCCTTGCAACAGAATCTTCTTCTGCTCTCAGTTTTATCCTTGGGAAGGCTCCTCGAAGTCAATATCATATGTCGCCTGATTCCCATGACTTTAATTCAAACTTATCCAACGAAGCTTTGAACCATTCTGGTAAAGTAGGCCAAGGGACAGCCACAAGAATTTCGGCTTCTATTTATGCACTTCTTGTTGGGGCAATACTCCATGGAGTTTCTAGCCTGGAGAGAATGGTGATACTCTTTAAATTAAATGAAGGGATTGATCTAATTCAGTTTACAAGAAATATGAAATCCAATGTGAATGGAAATGCCCGACCAATGGGGTTTTTAAAGGTGGATAATTTGATAGAAATTTCTGCTAGCTTGTTCAGGGTTCTTGTAGGGAATTGTCGAACTGTTTCAGATGGTTTTATAGTGGATCTTCTTGGTGAAGCTTCAATTTTAGCATTATCCAGAAAGCAGCGGATACTACCTTTAGATTTGGTGTTTCCACCTGCCTATTCCATATTTTCTTTTGTAGTATGGAGACCCGTTCTGGATGCACTCCTTGGAGCACGTGATGATTTGCAGCACTTGTATCAAATATTGGGAATTGCCATGGATGATGCCATAAAGCACCTGCCTTTTCGTGAGATTTGTCTGCGAGATACACGCAGCTTATATAATCTCATCTCTGCCGATTCGTTGGATTCTGAGTTTGTATCATTGTTAGAATCCAGTAGCCTGGATATCAATGTGAAAGCTGCTGCACTGGTTCCTCTTCGTTCGAGACTTTTGTTGGATGCGCTCATGGATTGCAAAATTCCACAATCTATAATTAAGGTGGATGACAAGAATAGGTTCTCTGGGCAAGGCGAATTGAAAAAACAATATGGAGAAAACGTTAAAAAGCTTATGGGAAAAGTTGTGCATGTTTTGGATACACTGCAACCAGCACGATTTCATTTGCAATGGGTTGAGCTGAGGCTGCTTCTAAATGAACAGGCTGTCAACGAAAAGATAGAGAATGATATCTCCCTGATTGAGGCTGTAAGATCTCTTTCACCTTCCTCTGAAAGAAGTACTTCAGAGACGGAGAGCAACTTTGTGCAAATTATTCTGACCAGGTTATTGGTCAGGCCCGATGCAGCACCTTTGTTTTCTGAGGTGGTTCATCTCATGGGGAAATCAGTTGAAGATTCTTTGTTGTCGCAAGCAAAATGGTTGCTGAGAGGTGCTGAAGTTCTCTATGGCAAGAAATCAATCAGGCAGAAGATTGTGAATATTGCTGCCGAACTTAAAGAACCATGCTCAAAGCCCCGGCACTCAAAACCATGGGGATGGTGTCATTCTGATATTAATAGAGTGACTAGCAAGAGAGAGAAACTAAAATCTGCAAACACTGCCCTCGAAGAGGGAGAAGTTGTTGATGAAGGGATTGGGTTCAAGCATTCTGGAAAAGGATCTGGTGTTTCAGATGTCGAAGGCTTCATTGTCAGCCAGCAGCGTTTGACTGAACGAGCTCTTGTTGCCCTAATCCTTCCGTGCCTGGATCGAGGTTCTAATGACTTGCGCTATAATTTTGCGAATGAGATGTTCAAGCAGATAAGCAATATTGAACAACAAATTAATGTAGTTATTCAAGGAGTTAGCAAGCAACCAGTTGCTCCTGGTCTGACTTTTGGAAGTCCAACAAGTAAAAGTGGCAATAGGAAAAGTGTGAAAAGTGGTAGCCCTGGAATATCCAGACAATCAGTTGGAACAGCTGATGCCATTCCACCTTCACCTGCTGCATTGCGCGCCTCCTTGACTTTGCGACTGCAGTTCTTAATCAGATTGCTACCTGTTATTTGTACGGACAGGTAATATTTATTTCCTTCTTTACATGAGTATCCCGGTCCTTGATTCTGCTTATATTTCTGATTTCCTGCTAATCTATCATTGTGATTCTTTGTGCTGCATGTACTAAATCAGTTTATGCACCTAGTTTGAGCCTTTGTTTATTATTTATTATTATTATTATAAGTTTGTGTGCGGGTGGCCAGGAATGCACGATCTTCACCATATGTTTTATGCTATCTACCATCACTAAGGTAAATAAGTTGTATGTTAGGATGTGAAATCGATTTGAGCTACTTGGAACTGTGATAAGGTTCAACTCGTTAAGGTTGATCTCTGCTCGTAGATTATGCAAGTGAATTGAGTTTGAGCTTGAAAATTAATTTTTGTTATTTGAGCCCAACAAAGCTTATCGACAGCAAATTTGTGAATTTTTGTAGAATTGCCTGTTCTATAGGAATATTTGGGTCGATCTTTGGCTTGAACCTAGCTTAACGTCATAACGTGTATAAACAACTCCAAACATTACCCAGAGCAAAACTTTGTTTATGGAGTTGAGGTTGAGCTAAATTTTATATCCTTCACTTATTTTAGCTGAGTTTGACAACTCAAAACCTAGGTAACTGTAATTAACAACTCTCAATTTTAATCTGTTTTGGTTGTTGCCTTGTTTTTATGATCCACACTTTCTATTTTAACATGGATCCATTTTGTCTTTCCATCTTCCGTTGAATGTGACACTGATCTACTGGATATCTTTCAATTTTCAAATGAATTGTATTAATAAAGTCATAGTCTCATTCTGATCAAATGACTACATGTGAACAGAGTGTACTCTAAATGTTATCGAATCTGAGATGCTGTCAATCTTCTTTAATCTTTCTTCAAGATGGGATTGTTGAGAATTAGTCTAATATTAATACCACTTAATTCATACATCTCAGGGAGCCTTCGGGTCGAAAGTTGAGATATGCACTTTCAACAGTGATTTTGCGCCTCCTTGGAAGCAGGGTCGTGTATGAGGATGCTGGTCATATTGTCAATCCTGCATTGGTTTTGTCAAAGAGGAATGCAGAGTCTCCATTGGAGACTTCCACTGCTGCTGAACTGTGCGAGGAAACCATATTTGATCATCTATTGTTAGTTTTCTATATGTTGCTGAGCTCTCACCAGCCGAGCTGGTTGAAACCAAAGTCTGAAGCAAAGACCACTGAAGTCAGCAAGGACTCCACTGCTTTCGAACGTGAAGCTGCTGAAAACCTGCAGGTATCAAATATGGTCTGATCAATCTTTTTAATTTTTCTTGTTCGTACATAAGGTTTTAACAGTTTATAAGATATGTCGACTTCTTCTAGTTTTAGGTTAAGTAATATTAGGGAGTTAGAGGCATGTTAAGTGCTTGTATTATTTTGATAACTAAAATAGAAATGACATTAAAATGTTGGTTTTACTTTATATTTAAAATTAACAATATTATTGAACCGTTTAAATCAAAAATTAGAAAACAAATACACATTTGTTCGATATCTTGGTGCATGTTATGCAAAGCCTTTGTATGGAGTTTTACCTTCTTTTTTTAATTTTTTTTTAACCCTAGCCTAATAGGCTTTACTCGTGACACGTCTTCTCCAAATTCTTGTGTGTGCAGAATGACTTGGATCGGATGGAAATCCCAGAAACAGTCAGATGGCGTATCCAAACTGCAATGCCGATTCTTTCTTCATCTTTACAGTGTTCCATCTCTTGCCAGCCTCCTGGAGTGCCACCTACTGCTGTCTCCTGTCTCCATCCGAGCAATCCTGTGGTCACATTCAACTCCAGCAACCCAATTCCATTTCAGCGGACCCACCAATCATTACCCAGTCGAACTTCAAAAACCAAGCCACGGGGAGGTTCACAGCAGGCCCACCTCGATGCATCTGAGACTATTGATCAATGGACACTTCTGGAAGATGGGACTGGATCAAGCCAGCCATCTGTAAAATCTACCAGCCCTGCTGGTAACAGTGGCGATCATCATTCGAATCCAAAGGCATCTAGCTGGCTTAAGGGAGCTGTGAGAATAAGAAGAACCGAACTGACATACATTGGAGCAGTAGATGAGGACAGCTGACTCACATGGCTGAACAGAACAGTAAACTTCATTTTCTCCATTTCTGTGAAAGTAGCACTGTCATCCTCCGGCAGGGAGAGTGGGTATATATCATGTGAACTTATATCTTTTTGCTTGTTCCAAGGGATCTTAGAATGTGATTTACCATATTAATTTTCTTACTATATACCTGGAGTTACTATGCATGATCCCTTGTGTTTTCAATGTTGCTTTCGTTGCAGCTATATTTACCGGCAGACAGATGCTGTTACCCGTGGTCGAGACATGGGCTATCCATGGTTTGTGAAGATACAAATTGCTTTTATCTATGGTGCTAAATTGAGGTAAGATTGATTGTATTTATTTGTATATTAGGTTTTTGAAGGACAGACAGATAGATACGTACATATATTGTCTTGATCGTCTTGCAGATAAAAGGTGTGGTCATTATTATCATAATCTTATGGGAAGTGTTTGATTGGGGATGAAAATAGTGTAGGAAATATGCTAATAATCAAGTCATATTAGGTAAGCTCTGTGTGATTCGATTTAGAAGACTTATGTAGAGTTTGAATTAGTGGTCTTGTGATCACAAGTTAGAGCGAGCGAGCGAGCTCGACCATAACCATTACCGACCCGGCCGGACTCGAGATTGTATATAAAATCAAGTGTTTGTTTTTTAGTTCAAAAAAACAAAAAAATACTATATAGTTTTTTAATAATAATATTTTATTTTCACTCACAATACTTCAAATTTTATTTTTTTACCAAATCCATTTTTATTATATTATATTAACATTTGGTTTTATATTCAAAATATATTACTTCATCCGTCCGTCGTTTACCTGCTGATTTTTTTTACAAATATTCTTTTATCACTAATAGAAGTATTGTTGTAATTTATTCTTAGTTTGTACTATATTTTAATATAATAATTAATATTTAAAGATTAATAAAAAAAATAAATGAGAATAATAATTGTTATTATTATTATAACTATGTGATTGTATTCCACAACAAATTTTAACACAAGGTCAACCGTAGCCCATAAACACAATCCGGACCAACCTCAGCACACCCAACAGCAGGGACAAGCAGCGATCCCATTTGCAGATAAGTCAAAATCTTAGAGCTAATGGTACAAAGATTATTCCCACATGAGACAAAGTGGAACTAGTGGAGAAGTTATCAATAAATAATGTGCAAAATTGTTTGTACTTCTTCTATAATTTCGAAATTCAACGTAATTCTAATGTAATTTCGAAATTCAACGTAATTCTAATGTACTTTAAAAATTGCATGACATTCTATTACACTTTTAAATTTCTCTATTTTTTAAAAATTGCATGACACTCTCTTATACTTTTAAAAATTTACACTGAATTTCGAAATCATATGGGAGTTATAAATATATATAAATTTGGGAAGAGACTCCTTTTATTGTTCTATTCTTGTTACCGTAGGTATAATTTTTTTATGGTGGTTTAGGAAAAATTGAATTTGGTTTTTATTTTTATTTGAATTTTAAGATAAATTTGAATTTATGTGTTCATTTTGTATTTAGATTTGGTTTGGTTTGGATTTGGATAATGAATTTAATAATATAGACGTGTATTCAATTTAATTGATAAAGTTAATTATTGTACGATTTGATTATAAATTTATATTATATCCAACATATATAGTATATTTTTAAAATTTTATTTTTACAAAATGACATATATATTGTATATATTTTATTAAACTTAACTATTATAAATATCAAATAAATGTAATATTTGAATTTTTATGCAACGAATGCTCGTAATTGGGGAGTCGGTACGGTTTGGACGAAACACACTAATTTCACCCAAACCGGGCTTGCGAAATACACCATATATTTTTGCATTTATAGCTCTTACATAATTATTGTTTTCATTCTTCTTTTTTGCCTTATTTTTTCTAGTATTTTTTCTTTCTACATTGTTTATTTTCAAACTCTTATTTTTCAATTCTATTCCTATTTTGCTTAGAATTTTCAAATTATTATTCTATAATTTCTAGCCCAATTTAATATTTATATCCAATTTAATCCAATTTTGTGGCAATTAATTGTGATATTTTCGCTATGAATTATTATCAATCGCGAGATCAACCCAAATACGTTTTTTGCGAGGTTGAGAAACTTCTTATTGTATCAATACCGACATACCCAAATCAAGTAGGTCGTCAACTCGATTTTTAGCAGCAACAGATTGACACACCCAGTTGAACTCCAACCAGTCTCGCACATCCATGCAGTTGTGCAATCGCAAGTTACCATTGCCGAGAAGTTTTGCTATGTCAAAAAATAAGAAAATTGTCGGAGAAACACTGTTGCAACATATTGCAAGAGAAGTTGAGCAGGATCAGTCATCTTCAACGCCTGGACGAGATAGGCTTATTACGTTACCGAAAAGTGTCCCCCGGATTAGATCTTGAGGGAGATTCAAGCGTCCCTCCATAAGTCGGCATTGGAGCTTTTCCGATACCTTACGGAGGTCTTGAAACCCACCATCCGCAAAGACATCTCGTGAGTAAAGGAAGAAAAAGCTCATAAGGAGAAATCAACGAAGATCAGTCCTGAACATCTTGGATTCGACCATCTGGTAAGGATGCCAAGAGAGGCAACGTCGGATTCATCGCCCATCCCACTCCAATACGGTCACGTGACTATATTAAGCAAGAGAACTAGACTTGGAATATTCCTGCCCGATGTCATGAAGATGGGAGAATTTTTAGGGCAGACCCCTCATTGGCTGCCCCAAGCTCTGGACCTGCAAAAAGCTCCGGAGCTATTCTACCTTCGTCATAATGGTATGTCAATTCATTGTTCAATGGAACACCTCCACCCATGCCTACTCCCGAAGTCCATACACAAGAGTAGCAGTGGCGCAAGGAGCTCCCGAAACATAGGTGGCATGCCTTTCAGCAGCTCCAAGGTTGTCTACCATCCTGCCAGCCCCGAGGATAACATGGAGATCAACTCAACCAGCTCCAAGAATGGTCTGAGGTCTGCATCGCTAGCTTCAAGAGTGTCCTGTGGGGCAATAGCTCCAAGAATGACTTGGGGGCAGCCCCAACAGCTCCAGGGATGACATAGAGATTAGCACCGTCAATTCCGGGAATGACTTTGGAGGCAGCTTTAAGAGTGACTTGAGGTGCAGCTCTGCTAACATTACCTCTGGCTGCGGGGCAAGGGAACAATCACGAAGGAAGTTTTTCCACAACTCCAGGGAAATATTAAGCCCACGGATCTCCAACCCAGGCAGCTCTGATGTATGTTGAGAATATCCTTAAATCCCGGGCACTAGTGGCAATGAGACCCAATTAGGGGAACCGGGTGCGATTCCCACCATGAGGACGGGTTCACCAAGGTTGTCCACAGCCTGCCCCGTACCCTCAACCAAGTCTTGAACAACCCGAGGGACAATTTGGGACAGCCTCGCAACCACAACCTCTCATTAACCTTCAGGCGATTTAGGAGGTTGTCCGGCACTTGTATGACGACCCTATTTGGTTTCCGGCAATACCTCACTACCAAAGGCCATTCCAGATCAGATTTCCATCAACCATCCACTTCTCCAAAATTTCAGGATTCCCGAATTCATGTTTTTTTCTGATGAAGATTCTCACTCGACTATTGAGCATAGTAGCCGATTCACGGCTCAATAAGGGGGAGAGTTCGAAAAGAACGACTAGTACAAACTTCAGTTGTTTTTGTTCTTACTAACTGGTCCAGCTTTTATGCGGTATGTCTCACTACTTTCGAACTTGTTTCACACATGGGCAAACCTAGGGAAGACGTTCCACGAATGTTACCACAACCTTCTACCGGATGTGACAGTCTCACACTACGAATTTGTGGAAAATGAGAGAATAGCATGTTGAACAGTTCTTAGAGCATTTTTGGATAACAGAGAGTCGATGTCATGTGCGCATACCCGAGAGCCGGATTGTCAACATAACAATTGATAACATGAACCAACAACTTCGGAAAAATTTGGAACGCCAGGGGTACTAGGACTTCTGATTGCTGATATCAAAAGTTGTCAAGGTGGAGCAGCTCATCAAGGACGCTCAGACAACCTGGAACCAGGAACATTGGAACAGAGCTCATTCCTCGTATGGACGAAACAACAATTCGAATGTCGGGGAAAAAGTATATGAGGCCACTTTGATTTGAAAACAAGATAAGAGGGTGGATATCCAACCATTCCCTATGTTGATTAATACCGTCAGAGCACGCCCAACAAGAATCCAAGGATCAAGTTTTGGTTTAGGCAATAAGAACAAGAATTCCATCCCAAGAAGGACAATTTTTGAAAGGTTTGAGAGGTCAATTAAACTTCCAATAAAGAGCTCGGTGTGAGATAGGCCATCACTTAGCAAACACATTGGTAGATTTCAACTTCAAGAAAGATGACAAAGTATGGCGCGTGGGCTCCATGAACCAAATGATTATTACACCACATCCTACATACCGCTCTGAACAACCCTTCGATGACAGGATTTGGACCAACAATCAGAGGCCAAAAAAGACCCAGTCTCTCACTCAAATGCAAAAATGGAGGAGACAGTATCAACGCTGGACAGCTAGGTCCAGATGGAAGGAACTGCATCAATAGACTGGGCAACTCCAAACAGGCCACACATAGGGACTTGGGTAAAAAACACTAGATAAAAATGATTTGCGATACTAGCTCCGGATGTGTCAACAATGGAGGCCGAAGCAAGTAATTCCAAAAGACAAGCCTATCCCCCGAATAGCGACCTCCTCTGGAGGACCTAACAGCTCCAACTCCAGCTCCGGATGACAAATCTACGATTAAAATATCCAAATCTTTACTTACAATTTTGTATTTGAAATACAAACCAAAAACCACGTCATATTCTCACATAAATATAGTGAGCAAACAAATACCATAAGGTGTGTGCCTTACACATCCCCCGTGAGAACAATTGAAATAGTTTTATGTTGGATGGTTTTTTCATATAAATGGATGTTTTTTTTTCAATGAATCTAAGAAAATGTCACACAATGACTCTTAATTCGAAAAATAAAAAAATTAAAGTAGTTGAGTCTTGCTTGGTACAGGCGAAGGGCTTCTCAAGCCTATTTTCTTTATTTTTCTCTTCTTATTTTTCTCTCCTCATGTTTTCATTCTTTTTCTCTTTCATTCTCTCAATTTTCTTCTGTCATATTCTCTTTCTTTCTCTTTCATTCTTTCTTTCTCTTTCCTTATTTTTTATCTCACGTTCTCTCTCAAGTCATAGTAATTACAGTTATTGGACAAATATTATTTAATCTTCAATCAAAATTTATTGAAGGCTTGGACTCACATACATTTGAATGTATTTAGAAGCTTTTTGTATAATGAGTCATTATAGTTGCTCTGAGTAAGGGTGGCACTGTGCAATCCGTATGAACTGCACATCGGAGATAAAGTGTCTTAACTCAATCATGCCAACTCACCACCCAAACTACACACGCTTCCCCCGTGCCAAACCTCTTATAATATCTCCCCCTCCTCCGTCGCCGCCACAATTAAGCTTCGTAGACTATTGATTCATCTCCACATTTGCTTCATTTCCAATTCTATCTCAATTAAATCTCACCTTAGGAAGTCTGAATCGTTGGGATTTTAAGTTATTAGATGGCCGCGGGATCGTTAAACTAGCTAGAGTGTCAG